TCATTTGAAGAGACTGAGAAGAAAGCTGGCACAAGTGTCAAGGAATGGCCAAAAAATTGCAAGTCAGGATCGTGTGAAAGAGAATGTTCTGAAACAAGTATGTCTCTGTTCCAATGAGGATTTAATTTGCATGTTTGCTTACTGCATTTATATTTCCTGTCTTTATGCATGTGTAGATCACATTTCAGTGAATGTACCACTTTGTTAAGAATTGTTTGTATTGTTCATTGAACTGTAACTTTTATATTGGTTACATATAAATGCCTGAGACTAGATGGGATGGCCTGTGCAGAAAGGTATGGAAGTAGTTACGTGATTATTTGCCAGGTTATATCATGACCTTTGCCAGATACAGATTTCTATTGCTGCCATGAAATCATGGTTTATATAAGAGTAGATCATTCTAGGGGTCATCTGAGGAAAGTAATTAGAGGTAGGAATTGTTTCTCTTGAGGGTTCCTTCGTTTGAGATAATCCACGTACAGTAAATCTTCATTATTTTTAAACCTTTATAATTTTTTGCTGTCATTTTTTCATCCTTAAAGGTAAAATTATCCTTGGGTTTAATTAATTAAGCTCTGTGCCGTTAAGACTAGATTGAGGTGAGTGGTCAGATTCATGTCCCTGTGGAATCAGTCATGTGTACCCATTGTATAGGAGGCTGGGTGAGCCCCAGAGTCATTCTGGGTGTTATGGAGATGATAAAATCTTTTGTCCATATTTTGTTTGTGCTGAACAAATTTATTCTAAACAAGATTTAATGTTACATTTCACAGTTTCTGTTGCCTTGGATAAGTATTGAAATGAATGTATAGCATCTAATTTGTACATAAAATGATAGTTTCCTGCTTTTGAAAATAATTCTGGCATGGTAATGTTTGTCTCTATATTTGTTTAATTAAGCACCATGCCTTGAATATCTGTGGCAAGTGGAGATACAGCTCCACACATTCATAACCTCAGTAATGGGTTGATGTGACTGGGCACCTTCATGCCTTTGGTTCTGTACCCCTGGGTAGAGAGCCAGTCTGGATGCTGTACAGAAGATGAAGTATTTTGGCCGTGCCAGGAAGGAAGCCCTGATGCCTTGGCCATCCAGGCTGTAGCCTATCACTATAGTGACAGCTGTCCTGGCTCAAAATCAAAAAGAGCGTGTTTTATAATTCATAGAGATATTGATTTTTCGTACTTTATCCATCGTCTGGTTTTAAGATAACTAAGAAAAACATGACGTTTCGGAAACTGGATCTCAAGGACCCAACAGAATGGGTGTTTTTCCCTCACCTGAGGACAGAAACAGATCCAGTTTCTGAAACGTTGTGTTTTTCTAAGTGATCTTAACACTTTGCAGACCGATGATTTTAATATCTAATCACCCTGGGGACCGGCATTTTTATACCTACTACCCTAACTTTTGCACTGTTCACTTTAAAAATTAATATAAAATGTCCTAATTAATTTTATGAACTAAAATATTTGGAGAACACTTACCAATGCTCCTAGAACTGCTTGAGAGTGTGATATTTCTGGAAACATTCCCCTTTGTGAAGTGGCTTTACACACTTGCAAATGTAGACAGTAATAGTCCTTTTTTTGTGAACTGCGCAAACACGGCATTGCCTAGAAGGATGCTTCCCCTTGGAATGTTTACTCTTCACAATTTTCATGAGGATATGTTTCCAAATATCACCCGAGAGTCGTCCAGGGTTGTCCACATGAGGCCAGCGTGGGGTGGGAATGGACGGGCCCGGTCGCACTAAGACTGTGTCTGCCGCCACCGTGTGGTCTGTAGCTCAGGGTTTTGCCACATTCAGCAGAAATGCCTTGTATTTCAATTTTGAGTGAGGTTTTAGATTTTTGAAAACCAAAAATGATTTGAAAATGGCACAATTTATAAGCCACAAGGCAACTTACTTTGTCCACTTTACTGTTTTCCAAGGAAGAGAATAATAGGCCAAGTAGTGATCGGCTCTATCAACTCCCTTCATGAACATATTATACTCAGAAATACAAACAGGCTTCTTTACCTGTCCATGTCTCCTTTCAACATCAACCATGCTCGAATTGTGAATTGTGGAAATCATATTCACAACAAGAGTATCCCTCCAGGACTGAAGAAGAATATCCCCCTTCCTCCTGAATGTGGTTTCACCACGTTTCAGGGATTTACATTCCTCTTTCAGATCTAGAGGAAGGCCTCTGTTCATCCTAATTGTTCCACAAACACGTACTTTTCTTGAAAGTTGGTATTCTGCAGTTGCCACACTGTTATAATAATTGTCTTGATAGACATGGTAATTTTGATCAAGATAGGGTTCCAAAACGGAAAGAATAGTTTCTTGTAATTTCTTTCCTTCACCAGAATAAAATTCTAGATTTCCAATATAGCCTGTAGTGCTTTCAGTAAATACACGAACAAGTAGGACATACTTTGTAAGTTTCCCAGGATTGCACTACTCACTGACAGCTTGAAGAAATAAAGGCATTTATTTTCCTTTGCGGGTGCATACAGTTACAGCGAGGTCACATAACTGATTAGTCAGCGAACATTCCAGAGGCTTATCACGCAGCTGCAGGCATCAGAGCAATGTATAGTGTGTTGCAAATTATCGTGTTCTAAAAACGTATTAATACGCAACCGGTCCACCACGTTTAAAAGCAAAAAACATATTAATGTGTGCGTGGTCTGCAAAGTGTTAAAACTAGGACGATGGATAAAGTCCGAAAACCCAATATCTCTGTAGGTTATACACCGTCATCAGAATCCTATAGTAACTACTTCTATAATTCATACTTGTTACTAATGCTGATTAGCCATTACTCTTCTTCTGCGTTAGTGAGGTTTTATTGTATTGTGTAGTTGTGCATTGAGAGCCTTGAGATTGACTTCCAGGCAGCAGTGAATTGTCAGAAACAAATTTCCATTGTTCGTGCACTGGAGGATGAGGTACAATATTCCAACAGAAGAAAGTTGCACAGGTGTGTACAATGAGTGGGGAAGGTTTTGTCGCTTTGTTGCATTTGACATCATTCAGAATAATGGCTGGTCATTAACACAAGGGAAGACAGTACAGAATATACATAGGGAAAGCAGAGTGTATGATGGTAATGTGGAAGTAATAGCAATTACTGAAATTTATGAAGTATGTTAGTATTTATTTTGTATGTGGTAGCCAAATCATGCAACACTGACTACTATAATTGGTCATGGTGTGACAAAAAGAAATGTATCTGTTGGTAATGCGAGAAACATATAATGGCCGTTTTGATGCTGTTGCCAATTGAAAAAATTAATGCACTGTTGCATGATGGGACATCTTCCGGTCTATTGGCGTTTACCATGCCACTTTTGTACAGCTTGTCCCTCTGTAGGCGATGGCCAATTTCTTCTGGGGCCCACAATTTTCCCGTGTCTTATCCTTCGGTTCTGGTGGCAGTCCTCCATGGCCAGTTTTGGTCCCTATGCCATTTCTTCAGTTCTCCGACTGGCATCACTGTGGCGTATTCTACGGGGACCTCTCGTCGTTCTGCCACCTCAGGTTTCATGTCCACTGAGGTTGGCTCTTCTTCTGGATGTGCCTCCATTTCTTGGCAGGCCATCGTCCCTTTTCAGGTAATCGATGTCATTTCTTCTTCAGGTTCTCCAACCGGTATTACTTCAGCGTCTTTTATGGGTACCTCTCGTTGTTGGGCCATCTCAGGTTTCCTGTGCACTGAGGTTGCCTCTTCTTCTAGACATGCCTCCATCTCTTGGCAGGCCATCGTCTCTGCATCCATTTCGGGTTTGACTTTGGCCACTATCTCCTTGTGGCTGGTTTTCATCATTTCCTTCAGTTCTCTTCGCTCAGCCTTTTCTGTCAGCCTTCTGGACAGCAACTCTTTATGGTCGGCCTCCGTCTTAGCTTGGTTGGTTCTAATTTCTTCTTTGTCTTTCTTCCTATTGGCCTCCGTTTCTTTCATCATTTCGATTATTTGTTCCATTTTCATATGGCAACAGTGTAAACACACACTTCAGTCTTCAGTTCACATCGTAAATTTGATTATTCGTCGAGGCGTGTTCAAGTTCGTAAACCAATTCTGTCACCAAATTGTCACGTGTTGGGTATATGTCACGCGACAAATAATTTCACGCGTTATTGGATATAGCGAATTTATTGAACAGTCGCTCTCACACTCACACAATTCACAATTTCACAAGTACCACCATCGGCAGTATCACAGTTACATCCACTGGTCTCGGCAACTGCTAGACTTCTGCTACACTCGGTGACTTCATGATCCGCACAATGTCACTCCTGATCACACACTCTCTGGTCACGTACTGCTCAGCCGGCTTTTTATACCATTCTCTGTTGCCTGTGTCAACAGCTGTGTCCCGTGTTACGTCACAGTGGGAAGTGCTATTACGTCACCGCGGGAGGGGGCAGAGTGTTGACTGGCCTATTACTGTAGCAGCGGCAGCGCTCCTAAGCTGTTACATCACCACTGGCGGGGGAGGGGGTGTCCTGCATAGCACAAATACGTCACAATATTATACCTTACCCAGGAAAAGTGTTACCCATGGAGAGAACTGGACGCTTCTAGAACTAGAACCCACCATGCAGGAGTGGCACAGTGCAAGGATAATGCCGTCGGGAAAGTTCGTGCCAGGGACAGTGTGGTACAAGAAACCTGGAAAGGAGGGACGGGAATAAAGAACATATGCGGAAGATGGCCGCTATACCAGAAGAAAAAAGGTGTCAACCAAGGACGCCATCGGAGGGTGTAGATCAGGACAGCGATCGCACCTATGAGTGAGAAGAACTCATAAGAAGACCTTCTTCTAGATTGTCAACGTGAAGATCGCGAAGCGAATAGTCAGATCTTCTCTTAGCCTACGGCAAGACAAGGATTGGACCTTGTGGAGTGGTCAACCCCCTCCAAAAAACGAAAAGTGGAATAGCGCATGGCGGAGGAACCAGTAACACAGAAGCACCAGCCTCCCCGGCTAGAACAAGTGAATGAGTGATGAATGAATGTGAAGCAATGGATCAACGAATGCTGGACCATGGAATTGCTCGAGATGAACAATCCTAAGAAGGGAATGGAGAATGTAATGGCCAGAGAGTAGTCTCTGCAAGAGTAGTAGCCGAAACAACAGGAGATACAGCAAGCACATCCTTGGAAGAAAAGGAATGGGGATGCACAGTTAGGCTGTTCGGGACGAACAGCCTTAAGGAGGGAGCAGTGTGACGTATTTGCACTATGCAGGACAGCCCCTCCCCCGCAAGCCATGACGTAACAGCTTTGGAGCGCTGCCACTACTACGGTAACAGGCCAGTCAACACTCTGCCCCCTCCCACGTTGACGTAACACAGGTCACAGCTGTTGACACAGGGAACGGTATAAAAAGCCGGCTGAGCAGTATGTGACCAAACAGTGTGTGATCAGGAGTGACGCAGTGTGGATTGTGAAGTCGCCGAGTGCAGCAGAAGTCAGGCAGTTGCCGAGAGCAGTGGATGTAATTGTGATACTGCCAATGGCAGTACTTGTGAAATTGTGAATTGTGTGAGTGTGAGAGCAAGTGTTGAATAAATTCGCTATATCCAATATGGCGTGAATTATTTGTCACGTGACAATATACTCATAAAATTGACCTCAGCTATGTTACCCTGGAAATAAAAAAACAGTCTGCTGTCAACGCAACAGTGAAATCTGACCAATAAGACCAGTTTTGAGAAAATCTTTTTGCATTTGGGCCCCTAGTGTGTGTACTGTTATTTACCTGAAGGCTTATCACCCATGCAGGTTTATTAAGGGATGTGTTGTCCCTAAGTTACTGGAATTTAATTTTTGAGAAAACTTACGTTTTCAGATTTGGGTCTCATCTGAAGGCCACCTGTTGTTGGAGTTGCAGTGTTCAGACTCAGTGGGCACTGACCTGGCATGGATAAAACTCCCGGGTCCATGTCAAAAAATTTGCCCCCCCCCCACACACACACACACACACACACACGCACACGCACATGCACACCATATGTGTAGTACATGAGAAAGTAAAAAGGGTGTTAAGTAATTTAGACAAAGTTTGCTTTTTACAAGCAAGTTTATCCCCCTCTCCCAGGCCATCAATTTTTTTCTTTCTTTTTATTTAATTCACTTAGTGGGGGGTGGAGTCCAACTGGGTCCACTCGGCACAGCAGCCACTAATTGGCCTATTGTAGCTTGCCCCAAATGATTATGATGATGGAGAATTTGGTGGAATGAAGATTGGCATGGTAAACCGAAGTACTCGGATAAAACCCGTCCCAGTTCCACTTTCTCCACCACAAATCCCACTTGACCAGACCCGGGTCGCCATGGTGGGAAGCCAGCGACTAACCGCTTGAGCTATGACGCAGACTTTCCAAGCGATCAAGATAGCATCATACTGTTTTGTCAAGTTTAGTATCTTACTATAAATGAGCTGTTTGGTTCTTTTTGATGAAGTTTGGTTTTAAGAATTGTTCTTGAATTTACAATAGGTTTTATGCTAGTAAATAATAGAAGTGTTAATATTTTGCCCTTAAAACCAATTCTATTTTAATCTTGTTTGCTCGTTTCTGCACCACCACCTTCATGATTTATAGTGTCATAAAACAGTTGTCTTCTCTTGCAGGAACACCGGGCTGAGATGGTGCGACAAAATAAGGAGCGCCTATCAAGTGAGAATGATGAGCAGCAGACTGCTTCTTCAGGCTAGTTGGACATGCAGTTATGGAGTTAACTCTGCCCAGCCCCTCCTTCCCTTCTGAGCAAGGAACAAAGCTTGTTAGGCAACGGGATATGGAACGAGTTACCACGAAGACAGACCCTTGGTAAATGGTCGGTTGCCAAGTTATGCAACAGTAAGGAAAGCGGTGTTTCTAGAGACATTGCTTGGCAACGCTCCCAAGAGTTGTTTATTGCTGCATAGCAACCAGCTTGCTTCGGCTCGGCACATCATGGAGAAAAACAGCTTTCTTTACGGTTGCGTAACTTGTCAACTGACCGTTTATCAAGAGTCTGTCTTCATGGTAACTCGTTCCATATCCCGTTGCCCAACAACGGTGTGACATGTCACAGTATATTGTATAACAAAAGGGGCCAGTATAGAGCATCAGTTGATAAAAGAGTTTTGTCATTTAACGCTTTGTTTTGTGACTTGGTATCTTAATATTGTTATGTCTGGTTATTGATGCAGTCTTGATATTGTAAGGTACAGTGAGCTGCCAGTGTTTCTGATGTGCCTGTTGTTACATAACAGTGCTTATATATTGTATTTCATGGTGAGATGAAACCCTGCTTGAAGAAAGATGAGTCTGTATTGTTAAAGTACTAAACTGAAAATGTGTAAAAAATGAGCATAGATGTGAAGACAAGCTAGCTTCTGTGATGGCTTTATGCAGAACAACTATTAATTAGCCAGAATTTGTAGTTTACTGGCATGTTTTTGTCCTAGCAACAAGTTATGCAATGCTTATGTTTACAGTTTACATTAGTAGTTAGATTCAGCCTGAATTTTCTTGTGGGAGGCAAATTGTGGAATGGTTACACTGACTTTCTGATAACACCTGCCAAAGATTTTATAGATGCACAGAGACACTGTTTTAAGTGCCATTATGATTGCAGAGAGGCATCCACCTCTCTGGTAGTTGTAAGTTAATGGGCCTACATAAGTCCAAAAATTCCTGTTCATGCATTTAGTAATAACTGAAGAGAGAGACTGATTATGTACACATGTTTCTAACCATTTCATCCTTCTCACATATTCCCAGTGTCCTCACTAACCACCAGAGGTCATATTCCCTTTTCATACTTGGTAATTCTTATCGCTTTGGACTGAGGTAAGGTCATTCTTGCAGTCTGTTTTTATGTAATTTTGTAAAACATTGTGACATGTCAAACCGTTGGGCAACGGGATCTGGAACGAGTTACCATGAAGACAGGGAAAGCGATGTTTCTAGAGACATTGCTTGACAATGCTGCCAAGAGTTGTTTACTGCTGCGTAACAACCAGCGCGTCACAGAGAAACACTGTTTTCATTACTGTTATGTAATGCAATACTATAGGGTGAAAGAGACAGTGATTTCCTTGAAACTGCACAACCAGCAGTTTTGCTCCCACTGTTATTTTGATGTGCAGAGCTGCCACTTGGAATTCTATATAAAGGAAACAAACTTTTATCTTCATTAAAAAGCAGCTTAATGAATAATGAAAGCTTTGTTCCTTGTGTTTCTCTGTGACGTGCCGAAGCTCACTGGTTGCTACGCGACAATAAACAACTCTTTGCAGTGTTGACCTTTGGAAATACTGCTTTCCTTAATGTTTCATAACTTGTCAATAAACGTTTATCAAGGGTTTGTCTTTGTGGTAACTTTTCACATCCCATTGACCAGCAACGGTTTGACATGTCACAAGATTTTTGCATACGGTTTTGTAATTTTGCCTCTTTTGACATTTGGTTCCAGTTGTTGTATTATGTTCAATTGTGCTTAATAAAGAAGAATTGTAGATTGAATTAACAAGAATAAATGTAGTTCTGACACAAATTCTGTAGTTTTATTTCATGGTATAGTCAACAGAGTGATGATTGTGGCCTGTGCAGTTCCTGAATTCTGATCTTAAGCATGAAGCATCGGTGCTTCTGTAAATAACCTTTAATTAGTGATCAGTTATGTAATTCTGTGACCTTGGAACAGACCAGTAGCACATGAAATTGGTAACAGCATTATTTATTATTTTATGCCAATAAATATTAGTTATGCGGAAGGAAAAGAATGGCATTGATGCACAACTATACATGTTTTAGAATTTTTTCCCGATTTTTCAAATGTGAAGATTTGCTGCGATATTATAGAGAGGTTATGAAGCTCCTCATTATGCTGTTTTCTCCAACCTCCTGTCACTTCATCCCTCTTTGGTCCATATATTCTCCTCAACACCCTGTTATCAAATGCCCTCAGTCTATGTTCCTCCCTTAATGCCAGAGACCAAGTTTCATACACATACAGAACCACAGGCAAAATTTAGTTTTGTACATAATTTTTATTTTTTTTGGACAGCAGACGAGAAGACGAAAGATTCTGGACTGAATGGTAGCAAGCATTACCCGAGTATTAAAAGTATACAAAGTAAATAATTGTACGTGTAGAATGCACTGATAGAATGAATGATGCCAATTGTTGCTGTTGTCATGCAAGACGAATTTTACAGGTCCCCTCCCTCCTGCTTAAACTTATTCTCCTTTGTCCATACTTGATAGCGTGTCATACCATAATGTAACAGATTTGATCAACGTGTTGCCAGGCAACACCTCTGTAAACACAGATGCAACAACAGAGGAAGGTGTATTTTCAGTTTCTGACAGATGCACCAGTAGAATGGCTGGATAGCGATCATGTGATATATTTTTACTGTAGGTCCATGTGTGTTCCATGGCTATATAAGTAAGTGACAGAATTCATTCAGTGCAGTTTTGAGTTATGAGTAGTGGCGGAAACACACAAACAAGTCAGTTCTCAGTAGGAGATAGCCACGGGAAGTTTGTAGTGGAAGAAGAATTAGAAGTTGCCCTGTGAAAACTTAACATGTGGTTAGAAAGCTATTTATGTGTAATATTTGGAAGTCAAAGAAAAGTTAAAAGTCAGCCTGTGAAGACTTTATTTATGTGTAATTCAGTGAGAATGTTATAGTTCTTATGTTATAAGTCTGAAGACTAGTGCAGATAGAACGAAGAGATATGTATGTAATGGGTGGGTCAAGGCCGCGCCATAGCTCAAGCAGTTAGTCACTGGCTTCCCACTGCGACAGCCCGGGTTCGATCCCGGGTCTGGTCAAGTAGGATTTGTGGTGGACAAAGTGGCGCTGGGGCAGGTTTTCTCAGAGTACTTCGATTTCCCCTGCCAGTCTTCATTCCACCAATTGCTCCACAATCACCCTCACCTATCATCCGAGGCTGGTACAATAGGCCAGAAGTGGACACAGTACAAGGGACTTAGTCCCACCCCCCCAAAAAAGGGGGTGGGCCATAAAAACTGGCCCCCGCACTGCCACTTTCAATGGATGTATTGTGCTTCCCCTTGGTTTAGCCCTTTATTAATTCTACACCTTTACTAAAGTGTAGGATCCTGTTAATGGGGCATCATAGAAGTCACTTGATTCCATAAAAACTGACCCAAGTGACGAAATCTTCAATAAACTATGGTGTCACAGTTACACAGGATGTATGCGGCTGATTCGTTTTCCTGTAGGCACCTCTCACAAGTAGTGTTATCTGTCAGTCCCAACTTGAAAAGGTGTCCAGTAAGTAATCCTACCACCCATCTTAGATGATCTCAATATATATGAGACAAACTCCGTCGTCTTAAGTGCAACAATTAAATTGTTGCACTTAAGACGGAGTTTGTCTCATATATATTATGTGAGTGTAACAGGATGCTTAAATATAATATTAGATGATCTCCGTTTAATCTTAGCAGATCCTTCGTTCTTCTGGCCAAGGGTCCTGATATATAAAGGGCAGTCAAATGAAAACAGGTCACCGTGCATAACTCAGATGGTGCGCAAGTTGGTAACACTGTAATTTGCTTACGGTATGAACATCTGGTGGGGACTCTGGAAAGCACAGTAACAACGTGACCTTGCACACTAGTCATTTGTTTATTGTGCTGGAAGTAAGGTTAGCACTGTGTGTGTGTGGTCATCCAACATCAGTAATGGAGGTGGGTAAAGAAGAACAGGGAAGTGAGGTGCCCATTTTGACTGCTGAAGGAGTAGGAGGATGAGAAATCCATCATTTACGGCGAACACAGCATGTCACGTTCATGTGTGCTGGAGTGGCATAAGAGCTTCCGAGAGGGGCGTGTGTCACTGTGAGATGATGCTTGCCCAGGACAGGGTCCTGTTATTGCTGCGTTGGATGGTCATATCCGGGCAAACCGACAGATCACTGTACAAGGAATTACAATTATTTACGTAACATCAAACTAACTTGTGAGTGACATGAAGCTATTAAATTGAACTACAAAAAAACTCGCATGCCATGTTATAGTTGTCCTTAGATTTTCAAGCACTATACATGACACATGAATGGCAAGCGCTGATGTAACATGGCTGACTGTGCATTCTGGTATAAGCCGACTAAATAACTACTAAAATGCAGTACCTGCTTTATAGTAATTGTTCAAAGTGCCCTCCGCCAGCTGCAATGCAGTTTTCGGCACACATCTTGAGGGATTGGGTAGCAGAAGCAATATTGCCTGGATGGTGACGTGTGTGTTCTGCCGCTGCAAAAATACGATCCCGCAGTGCTTCTTGTGAATTGACCTCAGTTTCGTATACTAATGTGGGGGAGTCCCATCATGTTGGAAGTATATTTGGCTCCTTATCGTTAACGGTATGTCTTCGATCAAACATGGTAACTCATTCCTCAGGAAGGCTTTATATGTGTTTCCAGTTAAATTGATTTGAAACACAAAAGGTCCGATCAACTGTTCCCAAGTACACCACACCATACATTCACAGAAGATCTCTTTTGGAATTTCATTTCCATTATCTCATGTGGATTATTATGGGACCACGTATGCACATTTTGTAAATTATTTACACCATCCTGGGTAAAAGACGCCTCATCACTGAATAAAATGATGCTTAACAGTTCGGGATGAGCTTTTATCCAGTGGCAGAAGTCCATACGCTGAGCATGGTCGCCTGGTTGCAAATGTTGTACACTTTGATCATGGTAAGGATACAACTCTTCATCATGTAAAGTTCACCACACCTGCATACATGATACGCCAATGCGAGAGGCCATTCTATGAGTGGACATATGCGGACTTCTCTGAACCATCTCAAGAATATTCTCTCATGTTTCTCATTCGTATATCCTCCCTTTCAGAGTGCACAGAAACATTCGGAAGAGAACCAGTATCATGCAACGTCTGGTGAATTCACGTAAATACACTTTGAGTTGGAATCCTTCGATCGGGAAAACGCCTCTGGTATTCTTCAACAGCAGCACGTGCATTGCCACTGCAAAATCCATACACAAAATGCGTTATCACAATATTCCACGTGTGAAAACACAAAAGGCATTTCAGCAACTTTGAACAACTAATTTACCAACCATTCACAACGAGGCCACAACATACCCTAAAGGTAGCACATAAGCTTACGTNTTTCAGAGTGCACAGAAACATTCGGAAGAGAACCAGTATCATGCAACGTCTGGTGAATTCACGTAAATACACTTTGAGTTGGAATCCTTCGATCGGGAAAACGCCTCTGGTATTCTTCAACAGCAGCACGTGCATTGCCACTGCAAAATCCATACACAAAATGCGTTATCACAATATTCCACGTGTGAAAACACAAAAGGCATTTCAGCAACTTTGAACAACTAATTTACCAACCATTCACAACGAGGCCACAACATACCCTAAAGGTAGCACATAAGCTTACGTCTAATGTGAATCACCACACTCAAGGACAAACATTGATAAGACTTGTCAGCTGACAGGTAGTGCGTGGACTTGCCAGAAGATTACACTTTTCTCTGGCCATTATCCCTGTAACCATTGAACTTTGGACATAGGTGTTTTGGGTTATATCGGCATACTTTAAAATAAGGGACACCCTCCTAAAGTCTAGCACATTCCTCCTGGGACATCCTGCATATATACATATATCAAAGCAGCTTCACAGACATCTTGTACATTTGTAAATAATATACATCTGTTATAGTTTTACGTGGTTGTCTCTTGGAACATCGACATCCCACAAGTATTTCAATTGAGACTCTTCTGTAGTAGTACTGTTTACCAGAGAAGCATTTTGTTTCCTTATCAAGGAGGCAGAATACAGAAATCTATTACAGAGAATCAGGAGTAATGTGTCAGTAAAACTGATGAAATATCCACAGGCATTTACAAAATAACAAACATTTATGGAAAGGAAATGTATTAAGCACAGATTATAAGACAATAAATGATCTGGCCAAAAAGGAACTGAATCAAATACAGAAAAGATAAGAACTGTGATATATTAATAGAGTTGCATAAAAAGAACAACTATGAGATTCAATTGCACAATTTACAACATAATTGGAACAAATAGTTCACACTGTAAAACATAAAGCATCTATGATTTTAAAATTTCCTTGGGGCAAGCTATGTAGTTCTGTCGTCTCTATATCTTCCCTGGAGACAACAGTCCCACTGTAATCATATTCTATTAGAGACACCATAATCCTGCCCCCTTCAGCCTCCTGTTTCAGGAGATCATCTTCTTTGACGCACAATGGTTGGCTGGCTTTCTCGGTCAATTTCTTGGGTGTAGTGTCCACTGTTAGAAGCCGGAAGAAGCCATTCTCATCTCGCTTGTACCTGCAACAGTTGAGTTGGGTTACAATAATAAATCCATTACCTCCAAGGTTCCAGCAAGATACACCACAGAACTATTTCGAGACAGACTCCAAACAACTGGGTCCCACAAATTCCACACTCAGAAAACACTATACTTATATGTCTAAAACTATTAAGTTTTATGTCACTTGTAATGATCTTCTATCTGAAGGAATGTGGTTGTAGTTTTCATCTCATAATCAAACTCATACTTTCAGAAGGAAGTTTTTATGAAACGAAGCTCCATCTGGAATCAACAGTCCAGCTGATTATGAGGAGTTCTGATCAGAATTCATAAAGCCCACTTTGTTATTTCATATGTTGCTGGTCCTACAGATCTATTACTATTATTACTGTACACAACTTATTATGTACAAATTCTGTCTACCTTAAATCTGTTGAATGCGGCCTTAAATTTCACACCAATGTCCAGGTTTGTAACTGCTGACTTACAATATTCCGTATTTAATGTGTGGGTATTGCACCTTGTACAAGAAGTTCCCCTGGGTAATGAAGGTCTTTGTTCCTATTATGCACAAAACTGCCATTCAGCTCACTTCAAAAAAGTTTAGTATAACTGTCAATCTTTAGTCTGTGTTGAAATCTCAAATTTTCCCTCGATCTACTATGTAAAACCACTAATAAAAACTCTCTTAAATAACATAGAATATCAACAGTTTTTGGTTTCTTTTTCTAAATCCAGAAACTGTCATGCCCTTAATGGAATATTGGTTGAATCCAATAATGTAATGTACTTTCCATCATCCTATACTCTGTAATCATGGTTCATAATTGTGTGGCACGGGAACAGCCAAACTTATCATTGTGGCATATGTTTGAATTTAGATGGAACATCAGGGATACTCAATTCTATGCTTACTGTTTCTTGGATGACACCCACATTTTCAAGAAAAACTGATCATTTTCTTAGAGTGCCATAAATGCCTGAACTGTTTCTCCACTATTTCATGTGCCTCCAGGGTGTGACAATTAATTAGACACAATGGCAACTTTACATTACGCAATTAACTACTGAATCACTGTATGTAGGTATGATAAATTTTGTGTAGTCAAATGGATTGTAATTGTATCCGTGCAGTTTGAATGAAAATGGTTTCAGGATATAAATTATAATCATAGAAACATTGTGAACGCGTGGGGTTATATCTGAGAAATGTAAAGTTATGAAAATTTACATTAGCATAACTTTTTCACAACTATACACCGTCAGATCAGTAGAATTATACTGGGGGCAAAAAGTGCTAAAGTTAGAAAGTGCCACAAATTCTTCCTGTAATGTATGTATTCTTGTGGGAATGTAGTGCTCACACCTACATCACAGGCTTAGTGATTTCTGTGGCAAGGTTACAGTGCAATGTTATTCTCACACAGACAAAAGTAACTTCTTGTGATCTGAACCAACCTAAATCTGCAGTGGCCTGGGGGCCTGCAGACGCTGTGCTGAATATAAAGGTGTTTCGTCAGCTGGGAGCCACGTTGGAACAGGCTGTCACATATGTGGCAGCAGTACTGCAGCAGATCACATCCAAGGTGGTACTAAAACACCAACAGCATAAAGCAACATGTTATTATGATTTCATGCAGAAATTAACTTTCAGATCGATGATGAAACACAATAGTAAACATACAGCAGAAATTCCGTCAGTACAGATATTTTAAAATCCCTCTTTCCATTCACTTCTATCAGGAAATCTGATCGTGAAGGGTCTATCATAAACATGTTTCGGTAGCATTTTATCAGATCCCATCTGTAGGATGGGTTCTCTTTTCATGACCCGAGTCATGTATGCATGTCCAAAACCTTCGGATTTAGGTCTCCATTGATCATTGGAACATAATCTGTAATTTTCTAACTTAACCTCTGCTTCCATCTGCAAATACAGTGGAGAGAGTACTAGTAGGATTTCCATTGCAGCTGTTGGAACTGTCCTCATTGCTCCCGTAATTCCCAAGCAGGATGTCCTATGCAGTTTGCTAAGTTCTGCCTGACTTTTTTTGAGTTTGACTGTAGTATAGTGGCGGCATAGGTAATTATGGGTCTTACTACAGCAGTGTATATCCAATATACCACCATTGGTGTCAGTCCCCAAGTTTTCCCAAACGTGCCTCTGCATGTCCAGAAGGCCTTATAGGCCTTATTAAGAGTAGTACCGGCTTTCATCATATAACTTGCGGCATCAGTCACAAAGAACAATACGTGCTCATACTGAATGCCATTCGGCCATAGTAAATTCATGGAATTGATAAAAAATTCGGAAACTGCGGAGCTATTTGCGGTTTCAAATTGCTCTACTGCAAGAAGATATGGGGTAGATTGTTCATTCTTATTAAGGGATCCAACTATACAATTTGCAATAAACCGTCCCTCACAATCTTGTGTTTCGTCGATTGATACCCACACAAAACTATATTGAATCTTATCTCTAATGCTTTAAATTGTAAGATCGTAACACTGCTTCACGTAATTTTTGCGCACAGTAGATTCATCCGGCCCATTGCACTGTGTATACTTCTCTATGAAGTTTATCAGAGTAGGACTGGTTAGTTCCACGGCGGAATATCTGCCGCTAAAAATACTTTGCATAAATCAAAGGGAAACTGTGAAAAACTATTATTAGAAAATTCACAAAGCAATTTTTGAACAGGGGCACTTTTCGTGAATTTAATTTTAATATTTACAAATAAATAAGATTCTTTAGTGAAATTACAAAATGTTTTAGAGGGGTTTTAAAAGTTTGTTATCAATTGTCTTTAACCTCTGTAATAAAAACAAAACCCCTCTAAAACAGTTTGTAATTTCACTAAAGAATCTTATTTATTTGTAAGCAACTACATACCTGATTGTTCAACATGTTTGTCGTGAAACAAGGCCTCGAGGCGTATTCGTGTAACGTCACTTTATTACTCAACTGCAGAACCGTCCAACCGTCCGTGCTGGCTACCCACTGGCTTCTGACATCACTGCCACAGCCGATGTATATATAACGGACAAGTGGGAAACGTGGCACATATACTGTTACGTCACAGAGGGGAATTGTTTGCCGACTCGTTGCCTAACAGTAGCAGCAGCTCCACTGCTGTTGTGTCAGAGTGGGGAAGTGTTTACTATCTCGGCAAATAACACGTAACAACTAGTAGAGCTAACGCATATGCAGTCATGGATCATAAGTAGATGCCAGATTTTAATGCAAATGCATATTTCTTTCTTGCAACCAGAAAGTATGCTCGTTTGGATATATTGTGACGTGTTGCTCTATATATGATGCCCCCCCCCCCAGCCGTGACGCGCCGAGCGGAGCCGAAGTTAGTCGAGTCCCAGCATCGTGGTAGCTATGCAACGCGAGTCAACAGCGGTGACGTCACCAAGGGATACCGCGGTTGCTAGGCAGCAGTAAACAACTCCGGACAGCGTTGCTAGCAACACGGCACCACACAACAATGGTGCCTATTACGTGGCTGTTTTCTGTGTTGTCCGGAACGAGGCTAGATACGGAGCAGCGAAGACAATTCACAGTTAGTTCCGAGTTAGTTCCGAGCAAGCCTACGAGTCAGAGTGTGTGATCAACAGTTCTCAAGGCAGCAGCTACGAGTTACGGACGCGTGTGCAAGAATCAGTGATAGTTCGTGATAACCAAGTAATAATTGGGAGTGTGTAACACAGTGACACTTGTATAGCTCCCGTACTGTGAATCGTGTAGACTACTGACAATAGAGCGAATTGAATATTGCGAATAGGGTTATAAAGTGTGAAACCCCGCAACAGTGTAAGCAGATTATTGCAAATAGGATTATAAAGTGTGAAACCCCGCAACATTGTTATAATTAATTGTAGCCGAGATTTGTAGGTTGTTGAATAAACCAATTAACAATCTCTACGGCGTCTTCAGTAACAAAACACGTTACAATATGTATGAAATACTTAATTTCTTATATTTTCGGCATGGTTCGATGGTGCATATTGTGACATGTTGCTCAACGGAGAACCCCTCCCTACCCAGCAGCAACGTGGCAGCTCAGGCCACAGTGACGTGGCGGATGAGTCAGCGCTCCCTCCCCCCCTCCGCGGTGACGTAACGCGCAACGCTACGTACCCGTAACCAACTTCCAACAGCGTTGCTACGTAACAGGCAACAGCGAACGGAATAAAAGCCGGCTGAGCAGTAAGCGTGAGTTAGTTGAAATGTGGCCATCGCCGAGTTCAGTTCAGAGTTAGTTCCGAGCAAGCCTACGAGTTGAGTTGGAATATAACAGCCGTCGCGGAAAGAAGAACCGGACGTGTGTGTAGTTGTGTAATTGGGAGTGTGTGATACAGGGACACTTATGTAGCTCCCCTACTGTAAACGTATAGACTACTGAAGGCAGAGTGAATTGATTTGTGAATAGGGTTATAAAGTGTGAAACCCCGCAACAGTGTAAACAGATTATTGCGATTAGGGTTATAAAGTGTGAAACCCCGCAACTGTGTGATAATTAATTGTAGCCGTTACTTGTAGGTTGTTGAATAAACCAATTAACAATCTCTACGGCGTCTTCAGTAACGAAACACGTTACAATATAAATGCTTATTTCGCCTGTTTTGCGAGTAAGCATCATATTCTCGAAGATCTCTATTTATACTGCATATTTCTTTTTAAAATGTTTATCGTATATATTTTTTAATTTTATGTCCAAACTTTCAATCATGGTCGTGTGTATACAATTTTTCTTTTCCGTATTAGAACATGTTGCATATTTGACTCAACATTTCGTCATGATTCATGTTTCCTGATGATTCCCTCTACTCGTAACTTGCCTCATCCGCGTACCATCAAAGTGGCCGCGAAGAGATTAGTCGGAAGCGTTCACATGTAGCAGCAATCAATGTAATACTATTCAACCGATAAGGGACTTCACTTATTTATTTCCGAAGTCTCCACGAGGTTCGTTACGCTTCTTCATTTGAAGCTGGGGACGATTTACATTAGTGGTGACTAGTCTGTAGTTAAGTTTGTTTAGCTTTCTGTAGTCATGCCGAAAGTGAAAGTAAAGTCAGGAAACTAAATTACAGCTGTATCAGCGGGAGTTCGAAGGAGAGATGATAAGTATGGATAACGAAATTCTTTATTGCCTAGCGTGTGAGGAAACGGTTTTGAAAAACGCATCCAAATTCTTCAGCATTTGAACACTAATATACACAAAGAGAATATTAAAATTAAATTCACGAAAAGTGCCCCTGTTCAAAAATTGCTTTGTGAATTTTCTAATAATAGTTTTTCACAGTTTCCCTTTGATTTATGCAAAGTATTTTTAGCGGCAGATATTCCGCCGTGGAACTAACCAGTCCTACTCTGATAAACTTCATAGAGAAGTATACACAGTGCAATGGGCCGGATGAATCTACTGTGCGCAAAAATTACGTGAAGCAGTGTTACGATCTTACAATTTAAAGCATTAGAGATAAGATTCAATATAGTTTTGTGTGGGTATCAATCGACGAAACACAAGATTGTGAGGGACGGTTTATTGCAAATTGTATAGTTGGATCCCTTAATAAGAATGAACAATCTACCCCATATCTTCTTGCAGTAGAGCAATTTGAAACCGCAAATAGCTCCGCAGTTTCCGAATTTTTTATCAATTCCATGAATTTACTATGGCCGAATGGCATTCAGTATGAGCACGTATTGTTCTTTGTGACTGATGCCGCAAGTTATATGATGAAAGCCGGTACTACTCTTAATAAGGCCTATAAGGCCTTCTGGACATGCAGAGGCACGTTTGGGAAAACTTGGGGACTGACACCAATGGTGGTATATTGGATATACACTGCTGTAGTAAGACCCATAATTACCTATGCCGCCACTATACTACAGTCAAACTCAAAAAAAGTCAGGCAGAACTTAGCAAACTGCATAGGACATCCTGCTTGGGAATTACGGGAGCAATGAGGACAGTTCCAACAGCTGCAATGGAAATCCTACTAGTACTCTCTCCACTGTATTTGCAGATGGAAGCAGAGGTTAAGTTAGAAAATTACAGATTATGTTCCAATGATCAATGGAGACCTAAATCCGAAGGTTTTGGACATGCATACATGACTCGGGTCATGAAAAGAGAACCCATCCTACAGATGGGATCTGATAAAATGCTACCGAAACATGTTTATGATAGACCCTTCACGATCAGATTTCCTGATAGAAGTGAATGGAATGAGGGACTTCAACCTGATAGAAAGGGGGGCTAATCTGGTATACAGATGGTTCCAAGATAAATAAAGGCACTGGAGTTGGAGTGTATTGCGATGGAACGAGGCGGTCGCATACCTTTGGCCTTGGTCAGTACACAACAGTATTCCAGGCAGAAGTGTATGCCATTAAGGCATGTGCAGTTGAGAATTTAGATAGGAACTATAGAAATAGGAACATCTATATTCTATCAGACAGTCAAGCTGTAATTAAAGCACTTGGTACACACCAAATCACTTCAGAATTGATTTAGGACTGCCACCAATCCCTCATACAACTGGCCAGACATAAGAGTAAAACTGATATGGGTGCCAGGTCATGAGGGTGTTGTAGGGCATGAAACCGCAGATCAACTGGCAAGAAGAGGATCTGAACAGCCGTTAATAGGACCTGAACCAGCACGCGGCATCTCAGTAGGAGAGTATTGCTGGGAATGAAACCACAGGTCAACTGGCAAGAACAGGATTTGAACAGCCGTTCATAGGACCATAACCAGCTTGCGGCATCTCAATTGGAGTTGCCAAAAAAAGCAATCAGGGACTGGACTGATAGAAACCATAAAGAAACTGGAATCCATAATTGGACTCAAATAGGCAAAGGGTTTTAATATATCAGGACCCTCGGCCAGTAGAACGAAGGATCTGTTGAAATTAAGCGGAAATCAACTAAGACGGGTGGTAGGATTACTTACCGGACATTGCCACCTGAAAGGACACCTTTTCAAGTTGGGACTGACAGATATTGCTGTTAGAATGAATATTACAGACGAGCAGGGAAGAAGAACTTACCTGAAACTCCCTTTGTAGCTGGGTGGCCTGACCTAGTGACGGCGGTGATATTGTTGTCCCTGAAAATGACCCTCTGTTGGAAGGGTCGGAAGCCTGGTGAAGCTCTCGTCGCTGAGGACTAGTCAGGGCTAGTACCAGCCTTCTTCCTTGCAGCAGCCCTATGATAGCGAGCCGGCGGGATGCTGGGCGAAGTTTTGTAGTAATGTGCTAGCCGGTGCTAGTGGCGGCGTCGCCGGCTGGCGGGCAAAGCTCGTACAACGGCTGGTTGGCCGTTGAGCACCGGCGATCACTGGCGGAGTCACTGTTGTGGTCTTCTCTTGATGCAAGCGTAGTTGTGTTTTTTTTAATGCTAGTGGGTTCGGACTAAGTCCCTTGTACTGCAGCCACATCTGGCCTATTGTACCAGCCCCAGATGATGGGTGAGGGTGATTGTGGAGCAATTGGTGGAATGAAGATTGGCAGGGGAAACCGAAGTACTCGGAGAAAACCTACCCCAGCGCCACTTTGTCCACCAAAAGTCCTACTTGACCAGACCCGGGATCGAACCCGGGCCGCCGCGGTGGGAAGCCAACGACTAACAGCTTGAGCTATGGCGCGGCCTGTTGTGACTGATACTAAGGTATCTGACGGCCGCATCTTTATGGTTTTGCCGCTAGGCGGCGCACCAAACAATGGGCGTTGGAGCTTCCGGGGTAAGCGCTGATTGTGTAGCACTTGCTTCACTGTGGGAAGTTCCCACAGAATATTTCCACTGAAATTTATACATCAGGACATTTTTATTAATTTAAGCTCTCATGCATATCTGTTTCTGAAGAATCTGGAGGAATTTACAGTATTGTTCTACAAATCTGAAGAGCATAGCAACTGACACACAGTATTTGTTCTTTGCCTCATTGTTCAGGCGTTGGTTGCTGGAAGGGTTGCACCATCACCACATTCTGACATAGATCATTAGAATGTTTTTAGATTTTGTTTTTAGCATGCATTGAAACCAGAATCACCATACTGACAATTTCATTGAACATACACATTGCCCACTCAAGGTAGGACATACCCCCAAAGATATTCGGGCAACAGTAGCCAGGGCTGTTAATAACGGTGCACAAAGCAACCATTTCCCGGGCTAAGATCCGGGACTTCTGCTCGCGTACTATAAAGCTGACTATAATTTCAGACTGGCAGTGATCCATGAACTGCTGAGTGAGAAACAGTAACTGGGCTTACATAACTGATGAATCGGGAGCCAGGATAGCGCAGTCAGTATAGCGAGTCCCCGTAGGATAAAAACATATTCAATTCCCCACGTCATCCAGACCGGCTCTGGGTTTCACCCAACCTCCTATTCAATTCGTACCGAGTGTAATGCGGCCGGAGCTTGAAGCTGACCACTCACTTCCAATTAGTGCTGAGGTCAAGAAAATGTGGACCCGTATATCCCCTCCCCCATACGCCTTCATGGTGTAGTGCTTAATTAGTTAAGCACAGGGAAAACTTTACATTACCCTGTGCCGTTTATGAGACACCCCGGGAATTTGCCTGGAACCACTGAGGAAACCAATGAAAATTCTAACTAGTTATTTTCCAAGTGCGAATCGTATGCATTCAAGCCAAGCCATTTTTCTGGAACTCCCGTCCTAAGTGTCCTGTAGGAACAAGGTGCATCGCCGTCTCTTGAAACACTTGAAAAACTTCCTCTGCAATATTTGCTAAAGACCACTGGTATAATGCCTGTTGAGAAATTAGCGGTGAGTCATATCATTTCTATACATTCTCATTCTATTAATTTTCCCTGCTGTCTCTCGTATTCCTTCCTAGTCCAACATGTTATCGAGTGTTACGCTGAGGACGACATTTAAGTCTATACTCGAAGAATAACGCAGAAATAGCTGTGAAACTTTGCCACTGTATATGTACATACATTTTGCATACCCTCATCAAAATGTCAGTACCGACAGAACAGACCAGATGCTCTGAAAACAGAAAACTGCTCGCTCGTGAACTATTACATCGTTTGTGTTCGTGCTACGTGCTGACGCTCCAAAATTTTTTTCGGTAGCCAGAAATTGCGATGTTACTTTAGAAGCCTTTGATTGTGGCTTTCAGCACAGAAACTGTGTGGCATCACATGGTAGTGCGTAGATGAATAGGCAAGGATTTTAAAGGGAGCAGTCATGATCTGATCGAGGTATTATCCCGACATTCGCATGGAATGGCTGAGAAGAAGCACGAGAAACTGTGCCCCGGCCGAGATTCGAACAGAGCACCTTCCGAACACAAGTGGAGATCGTTACCTCTAGCCCAACCTATTCGGTTATAAACCTTGACTCACGATTTGCGATATTGTAAATGCCATATAATAATAACAATAATAATAAATTAACAGTAAAAATTACCCTGTAACAAGCCATGGAGACCCACAGGGTTATGAGGCGTCGAGGCTTCCACATTTTCTAGACAATCGGCTCACAGATGGCGGTCAGGTTGTCAACCTTACACGCCGGCTGCCTTTTGTCCCCAGAAAGATCCCTGGTACTCATTTCTGTTAGAGGCTCAGTCGAGCCCAGGGCCATGGTGATGATGGAAGGATTAGGTCAATTGAAAAATCCAATGACAACGAGATTCGAACCCACTACCTACTGGCCTGTAGCATAGTACCTCAACCAACTACACTACCGCATGCCCTATAATAATAATCTGTATATAAAGTGTTTGAGATTGTGTGTATGAATGGATGTGATTAGTTATCTTTTATTTGTATCAACTACTGATATCATGAAAGAAATATATGAGTCATTTTGTGCTTATTCTTTATGTTGTGACCTTATCCACTATGAGGAAAATAAATAGATTAAAGAATGCCGCATTTTTACGCACGTGTTTTGCATGACCGTGAAACAACTCGTACACAGAGAAGTTCCCGAATTGTAGCTGCTTTAAAATGAAGTGGCAAGGAAGTCACTGTAAGGTAGAATAGGAATGACGTCTGCAGGAACAAAGATAATTGCATAATAAACATTCTGGCACTGATTCACTGATACACTTATTGTGCCGGTAGATGAATCGTTATGATTACAATAGGCTGGAACAGACAGTTCCGATTGGGAAAATGTGCACAGAATTTTGGTGGGTAACTTAGGTAGCAGACACTCAAATTTAAAAAACGAGATGAAGGGAATATAATATTGAAACAGATTTTAAGAAAATACGTTAGGGGGGTAGGAAATTAATGGCAGTGACTCAAATTCGTGTGCCGAGTGGTCAGTGTGGGTTAGTTTGGTAGTCGCTAAGTTTAGTTTTCCGTTAGTGAGTGTGTTGCTCGTATTACTTTCGGGGTACGAGGAAGAAGCCGATGTCAGCAGGTAAAGTTGTTTCCTCGTGCAGACCGGTGAGTCAGTAAGTTCTGATCTAGGAAAGAAAGTTGCATGTCGCCTGCCTGCTGAGTAATGACACACGATTTGTTTACAGGTGGCAGCTAACACGTGGCTCGGTTGCCTGCTTGTCTGTTACTGCAAGAACAAATGGAAGAGGCTAGGTCGAATATGAATCCACTATCCTTTATCCAAGATTAAGAGAGCAGCTTTCCGGAGTTTCGGTGAGACGGTATGTCAAAACGTACGTCACAGTATGTTGGTCAGTAACCCTACCCCCATATCCAACCGTCTCTGGTTCGAATATCAGCCTACATTAAAATATTATGTGAAATTTTTACTGTTGGGTCAGATTATTTTGAAGGACAACTTGTGTGGAGATCAGCTTCTGGGTGTGTTAGACTGGCAGATTGCTCAGATACATTGGCTAATATTCTTATTAGAGAAATGTACGTGCGAAAGCATGGGGTATCAAAGTGTTTTGAACGAAAATAAGCCCTGATATTTTCCCAATTTTGTTACAAAGCTTGACGTGGGCGAACGATCGACCCGAGTCTTAGTTTAAGTATCGGCAATTCAAAATAATGAGACAATTCAAAATATCGACTTCCTTCGGACAGGGCGTTCCGTGCCAGTACACGCCTGGCTTGGCGTTCCGACAAGAACACCAGGTCTTCTGAATGTTATTCCTGCTTGCATAGGTTATCTTACATTATAAAGGGTTCATGGTTTCTGATGTGACTCGTAGGTTACCATTTTCAGTAAGCGATCTCAAATCTGAAGTGTCACAGGTGATACCTCTCCAGGATTGGACAATATCCACAATCAAATGCTACTACATTTATCGCCTTGCAGTAAAGAATTTGCCCTATCCAACCGCGTATGAAGTAAGAATACTTTTCCTTTCTCGTGGCAGGGAGCAGTCGCGGTCCCCTCTTTTGATAACAGTGAAGATCATAAATCTTCAATCACCTGGATCACCATTTATCTCGCCAGCTGTGTTTACTAAGTGCCAGAGCCGACCCATGTGAGTGTTAAAATCGCTTTTAGAATAGCCAACACATGTTTCGACGACGGTTCTCTGCAAGTGATCCCAATTGGAAAGCGGTCTCAGATACGCTCATCTTTAATGGCATCACCTTGTCTCCGCTTTCGATCTGGCACTACACTCTCTAAGATCTAAAAGCCTGTGACGATGGTACATTGGTACAAATATTATGTTTTTTGGGCATTATTCATCATCTTGTCTCTATCTAAAAACCGTCGTGTTTATTTTTCAAAACACAACATTTCGGAGACTGGATTCTATCTCCGAAACGTTGTGTTTTGAAAAATAACGTTATGGTTTAAAAAATAAACAGGACGGTGTTTAGACAGAGACAAGATGACGAGTAATGTCCAGAACACAATATTTACACTACATTATCTCTTAATACTCTGTACGATTTCAAATTGATGTCTGGCGTCATTCCTTACGTACTACAAGTCTAACCCTAAGATTAGTATCGGCATGGGAAACATTTAATCTGCTTCTTGTAGAGCCCTCCAATGAAATTATTTGCCACAAGGCTTTGTGTTAAGCGTTACGCCTTTGCTATGGGTATGAATATCATTCTAGATATTTCGGATAAAGAAACATTACTGTTATTCGTGAATGATTTTGTTCTATACTGCAGCCCCTGAGTCGGTGTGGAATCCATTACAGTCCCAGTCTAAATACCAAACATGAATATGTACATCTCCAAATGTTTGTTGGCTTAGTCACGAGGCTATACCACAGTCTCCCCACCCCACCCCACCCCACCTTGTCGGTATTCCTTTTCACATATGTTGAATGATTTGCACGTGCGGTTATTCAGAATTCATATCTTATACATGGATAATTCCCCGGCTGCACTTTGAGTTGAGGCTTGTAAATATACTCGTAAATGTAAGTAGTACTTAAGTAGTACAAATGAAGACATGGGGAGTGGAGGTATAGCTCCTCGTATTCAGCTTTGGTACTAGGTAGATGTGAGTGTTCGACTACTTTCCCCGGAG